CACGGCCAGGCCGCCGAGCCTCTTGCACACGAGGCGGCACGCGAGCAGGTCCTGCACCTCCAGGTAGCCCATCACCATCAGCAGCACGTCGTCCGGCAGCGAGGGCAAGGACACGGCGTCAGGCTGCTCCATGCTCTGCAAGGGAGGACACAGTACGCAGTTAGCGCAACACTGCACAGATAAGACCATTACCGGCGCCGGGAGAAGTAGTGCCGACGATCCGACCGGGACCCGACCTTCCTTTCCTGCTCGAGCTGAGCAGCAGCGACTGAGTTTGAGTTCCGTTTGATCGGGCCTGCTCCTGGGTCGAGGTCCAGCACACGATGGGGCCGAGCACCACTTCCTCGGCGGATTTCCCCTTATGCGCTCGGTGCCCACCCAGACCAATCAGAGAGCAGCACTTCCCGGCGCGCCCACTTCCCCGCCCGCCGGGCGGGCGACCGGCGAACCGGGGCGGGGGGAGCAGCTTGCTTGCAGTGAGTGGCCGGGCGACAGTCGACGTCGACAGTCAGAGTCAGTGCGTGTCAGTCAGTAGCGATGGAGCAGCTTCCTGACGAGGTGGTGCTTTTGGTGTTGCGGTACGTGGGCATGGACGACCTCTTCACGTGCCGCCTCGTGTGCAAGCGGCTCGGCGACCTGGCCCTGCACCCCGGAGTGTGGCGCCACCGAAGTTCCTACAACGTTAGTGGCCACCAGAACCAGAAGATGTGTCGGATCCTGCGCGTGGCGCCACGCCTGGCTGAGTTGTCATTTGACCTCTGGTCGACACAGGACGACCACCTCGCGGTCTACACCACGACAAGGTGCGCGGTGCGTCAGCTCATCTTGCAGGTGGGCGGCGCCGGCAGCGTTCCCGCCGCACTCATCGTGCGCAACCAGGAGGCGCTCGGCCAGCTGAAGGTCGTCGAGGTCACGTTTCTCTACACTACAACATGGGCCGACGCCGTCGTGCTCCTCGGGACGTTGGCGTCGACGTCCGTTTTGAACAAACTCCTGGTCCGCTACCGCGGACACTCCTCGGGCGCCCTGCACCTGCACACTCCCGTGGCCCGGCCGTCCCTCAAGTACTTCAAGTGCCTTCTCAGCTCAAAGTCGCAGCCCTTCGTCGACCTGGTGCTGGCGGGGCACGCGGCTACTCTGGAGGAGGTCCACCTCGGAGATGATGATGATCACATCACGACCTCGACGGGGTTGTTGCCCGCCTCTATGCCCAAGCTCCGCGCGCTCACCTGCTCGCTGCTCCCCGGCATGGAGACCCTGGGTCCGTCGCTGACGTACGTGATGCTGCACATGTCGCCTGACATGCGACCAGGACTCCTTGGGGCCACGGAGATGCTGCGGCGCGCCCCCAAGCTCCGCGAG